TGTGGTTGCAAGAGTCAAATCTTAGCTCCTGGCCCTGCCGCCTCTCAACTCCCCGCTTGCCAGATTTACTCACCTCTAGCCTCATGGGTCCTGTCATACCTACTCTTCAAACTATGGATGAAGATTGTCTGAACTAATTCACCCCTAAACCCTGAGGCTAAACAAGTCCCTCTTGATATTCTTGTGGCTCATCTGTTCTTAACCTTCAACTGAGCTCTAGTGAGCGCCTTTCTCTCCTCTCAGTCTGTCCCAGTGTACCCTATCAGTTTCTCTGAGTATTTTTTATGTTATATCTCCCGTTGTTTTTCCTCCTTCTAATGTCATCAGGCTCAGTGTCTACAGTCTCTCCTCACAGATCTCTTCCCACAGCTCTGAAACAAGCACCGTTGCATACCTCTGTAGTTCTTCCGTTTCTTAACATGCTGTATTCGGTGTGGGTTCCACATTGATGCCGCATACTCGAAGATGGGCCAGACGTATGTTGTCTAAAGGGCCCAGAAGGACTGTTAGGATTGCTGAAGGCCACTCTTAGATTTGCCAGACGAGCATTGGATGAAAAGCATATTCAGTTGATGTGAGCCTCTAGTGATATATCAGATACTATGCTCTTCCTTTGATCTTTCACTTTGAGGTCTACTGCCTCTTTCTCCCAAGTCAATAATAGTGTTTGGTCTTCGTGCTCCTTCCCAAAACATCGTAACTTGTATTTACTAATAATGAATTCAAGTAACTGCTTACTGACCAATTTCTGCATCTCTGGTTAAACAACGGGCTCTCTTTATTTGTGTCATTCCCCTGCTCCTTCATTTTCCAGTTAGGTACTGCTTCATCACTTCACTTTCCAGTTAGGTACTGCTTCATCACTTCACTTTCCAGTTAGGTACTGCTTCATCACTTCACTTTCCAGTTAGGTACTGCTTCATCACTTCACTTTCCAGTTAGGTACTGCTTCATCACTTCACTTTCCAGTTAGGTACTGCTTCATCACTTCACTTTCCAGTTAGGTACTGCTTCATCACTTCACTTTCCAGTTAGGTACTGCTTCATCGACTTTCCATCCAGTTCCCGTTCCCAGTGCAATGCATTCAAGAATTATCTCATCCCTTAATAGTTCTCTTGTGAAGTTTTGTTTCCCGTGTTGTCCATCTGCCGTTTTTTACTCAGTGTTTACTTCCACGAGGTAGTCAAAATTCAGTACTGTATAGTGGCTAGCATCCAGGGGAGATCTACCACTATATTTAGCCTATGCCAGATATATTTTTGGTCGATACCACATCCAGTCTTGCTAGTTCATCCATCCATCTATATATATATATATATATATATATATATATATATATATATATATATATATCAATTTCCTTATGCCACTTCCATCATCATCTCCCCTCCACGTTTCCGGTCCCCAGTTCTCCCAATCTATATCTTTGTGATTGAAGTCACCAGTTATTAACAGTTTTAGTTTAGTTGCCTGAGCTCTCCTTGGTGCTTCCTTTATGGTCTCCACCATTGTTTTGTTTTCTTACAGAATAAAAAGGCACAACATAGTGACTGGGAAAACACACAAATAACAAGCAGGTTATTTGTGCTAGTTATTTGTGTGTTGTTTTCACATGTATGTCTCGGTCTCCTGTATAAAAGTTGGTAAGACATGTGCGACACTCAGGAATCTGCATTGACTAAACGTTTCACCTGAGTAGAAGGCTTCACCAAGCGAGTACAATTATTATAATTCATGGGACATACCTCTGAAGAGTTTCGAGGGTTAATCTACTCTCTGAACCCAGCCATGGGCCAGGCTCGTCTGGTGCTTGCCTGGTCAACCAGGCTGTTGCTGCTGGAGGCCCGCTGCCCCACATATCCATCACAGCCTGGTTGATCTGGTAGAGAATCCCTCAGCCCTGATGAAGATGCGAACCTCTGTCAGTCACTTAGGCTAAGAGACTGAACATCTCCCATCAAGGTTGAGGGACTGAGTGCCTCAAACTGCCTGTTCACTTCTGCTCTCCCCAGTACTGGAATTCATCTATTTATTCGACCGATAAACCCTGCTACCCAAGTGAAGCGTTTCGTCATTAAAGATACCCGAGTGTTGCATGTGTCATCAAATCTATCTCTTGCTATTTGGTGGCAGGTTGTTGATCAGTGCTACACTACTTTATCTCCTCCAGTCTTGATTCTGCCCAATACGAAGTCGTGTGTTTGAGTGTACTCATGATCCAGTGTATGTGGAGATGGATGCCCCACTGTCAGTCTCAAAAAGGACCAGTTTCTGATTACAAAGCCATATTGTTCAACCTTCACGGAAAACACTATCCTCTACAGCATATAAAACCATCACTCCCTCTGTTGCTCGACTATTTTCCTTCTCAAGCACGTTAACTTCACCTAGTTGTGGTTGCAGGAGTTGATTCACAGCTCTTGGCTCAGCCTCTTCCCTGGTCGTTACTAAGGCACTCTCTCCCTGCTCTATGAGCTTTATCGTACCTCTTCTTAAAGCTGTGTATATATCCTGCCTCCAATGCATCACTCTACAGACTGTTCCACTTCCTGACAACTCTATGACTGAAGAAATACTTCTTAACATCCTTGTAACTCATCTGAGTTTTCAGCTTCCAGTTGTGACCCCTTGTTGCTGTGTCCCATCTCAGAAACATTCTGTCCTCATCCACCTTGTCAATTCCTCATCATGATGTCGTTATCATGCCCCCCTTCCCATCCGTCCTGTCCTTCAGTGTCATCAGGTCGATTTCCCTTAACCTCTCCTCTTAGCTTTGGGACTAGTCTTACTGCAAACCTTTGCACTTTCTCTAATTTCTTGACGTGCTTGACCAGATGTGGGTTCCATACTGGTGCTGCATACTCCAACATGAGCCTGATGTACACAGTGTACAGTCTTAACGATTCCTTACCAAGGTGCCGAAACGCTATTCTTAGGTTTGCCAGGCGCCCATATGTTGCAGCAGTTATTTGGTTGATGTGCGTCTCAGGAAATATGCTTGGTATTATAGTCACCCCAAGATCCTTTTCCTGGAGTAAGTTTTGCAGTCTTTGGCCCCCTAGCCTATACTCTATCTGGGGTATTCTATGACCACCTCCAGTCTCATAACTTTGCACTTGGTAGGGTTAAACTCCAGGAGCCAGTTGCTGGTCCAAGCTTGCAGTCTGTCCAGATCCCTTTGTAATCCTACTTGATCCTCGTCCGATTGAATTCTTCGCATTAACTTCACATCGTCCACAAACAGGGACACCTCTGAACCTATCCCTTCCGTCATGTCATTCACATATGCCAGAAACAGCACGGGCCCTAGGACTGACCCTTGTGGAACCCCTCTCTGACATCTCGTCTCGTACCATCACTCGTTCCTTCCTGTCAGGTATTATCTGATCCACTGCAGTGCTTTTCCTGTTATACCTGCCTGCTCTTCTAGCTTTTCCACTAATCTCTTGTGTAGAACTGTGTCGAGAACTTTCTTACAGTCTAAGAAAATGCAGTCTACCCACCTCTCTCTTGTCTTCCTTCTGTCACCTTGCTGTAAAACTCCAGTAGATTTGTGACAGGTATTTCCCTTCCCTGAAATCGTGCTGTTGTCGTGTATAAGCTCATTCCTTTCTAGGTGTGTGTATTCACCTAACTGTATTTGCAGGGGTCGATTCATAGCTCCTGGCCCCGTCATAGCTCTTGGCTCCTGTGTGTGTGTGTCTGAATTTTTGCATGGGCTTATGTGTGATGAGTGTACGGATGAGAGGGAAGGAGAGATCGTACGGAGGGAGGGGGGGAGGGAAGGAGAGATCGTACGGAGGGAGGGGGGGAGGGAAGGAGAGATCGTACGGAGGGAGGGGGGGAGGGAAGGAGAGATCGTACGGAGGGAGGGGGGGAGGGAAGGAGAGATCGTACGGAGGGAGGGGGGGAGGGAAGGAGAGATCGTACGGAGGGAGGGGGGAGGGAAGGAGAGATCGTACGGAGGGAGGGGGGGAGGGAAGGAGAGATCGTACGGAGGGAGGGGGGGAGGGAAGGAGAGATCGTACGGAGGGAGGGGGGAGGGGGGAGGGAAGGAGAGGGCAGTAGTTGTGAGGGTAAACTCTTCAAGTTTGGTAACAATGTATAATTGCTTAACCTTGATTGTAGCATTGCTGTAATTGTTGGTGGTTAATGGTGGCCACTAGTGAGTTCTCCAGTGGTGGGTGGCACGCTGCAGACCACCACTGTAGTGGGGGAACGATGTTCTCCACTGGTGGGTGGCACGCTGGAGACCACCACTGTAGTGGGGAAGGGGAATTACCGTGTTCCCCTTACTTCTCTTGTTCTTCTCTCTCCCCTCTCACTGACTTTCCTGTTCCTCCCTCACCTTGCTTCCTGCTCCTCCTCCTCCTCCTTCCTTTATCTTACTCTTTCCCAGACTTCATCAATCATTTACTAAGTCTCTCTTCCTTCATGTTTGTCTTGAAGGAAGAAAGAAGAAGAGTGTTGTAATAATGTTGGTAGAATTACCCACAATATGTTAGGTAAATGGACACATGTGCAACTAATGTGACATTTCATTGTGGCAACGTTTCGCTCTCCAGGAGCTTTATCAAGCCGTTACAAACAATACATGGATACACAGAGGTATATACAGGTACAGAAGTGCAAAACATTATGTTTTGCACCTGTATTGTTTGTAACAGCTTGACAAAGCTCCTGGAAAGCGAAACGTTGCCACAGTAAAATGTCACATTAGTTGCACTTAGTGTCCTTTGTACCCACCAAAGATTGTTGTACCTTGTAGACAATGGAGTCCTACAGTGCTAAAATAAAGTTAGCGTCACAATATCATGTATTTTTTTTTAGGACTACGAAAGCAATAATATTTAGTGGAAGGTGTGGCGAAGCAGAGAGCAGAAGGATGGGTTGATCCTGTCGTAGGATGAGTTGGTGCTGTCACAGGATGTGCTCCCCCTGTCGCAGGATGAGCTCTCCCTGTCGCACGATGAGTTGATACTGCCGCAGGATGTGTTCCCCCTGTCGCAGGATGTGCCCCTCCTGTCGTATGAGTTGATCCTCTCGCAGGATTTGCTCCTCCTGCCGCAGGATGTACTCCTGACGCAAAATTAGTTGCCCCATTCCAACGATACATCCTTTCTATCGAAAGGTGAGTCCCTCCCGCCGAAGGATGAGTTATCCCCGCCAGGATACCTGTCGCAGATTACCTCCTCCCAAGCTACGGTGGAAACACAGGTGTGTTGTGGTGACGCTGGTCATCTCACTCGCCCACCTGCAAGGTCAGTCTATCTCTTGAGTCTTACCAGAGTTGCAGTATTTTGTATCAGTGTTTTGACAAACATTTGTACATCACTGTGACTAGTTAATGGTTCAGGTCTGGCCGAAACGTCGTCATACGTTTCATCCTCTTTTGTGCGGGTTGTGTGTGTATTCCAGTCATGGTATTGTGCCTTCCTGTTCTTTATATTAATATGTCTTGTTAGATATGATAATGGTATGATTAAGACACATGTGCAGAAGTTAGGTAACTTTATTCCGAAACGTTTCGCCTACACAGTAGGCTTCTTCAGTCGAGTACAGAATCAGCAGAAGCAGTAGAGATGTAAAGATCATGTAATCAGGGACTGACCTGGGTGATGAACAGATTACATCGTCTTTACATCTCTACTCCTTATGCTGCCTCTGTACCTGACTGAAGAATGTAATAAAGTTGGTAGAATTACCGACAATATGTAAAGTAAAAGGACACAAGTGCAACTAATGTGATGTTTATTGTAGCAACGTTTCGCTCTCCAGGAGCTTTATCAAGCCATTACAAACAATACATGGACACACAGGGTATATAAAGGCTCACTCTGAGCCTTTATATACCCTCTGTGTCCATGTATTGTTTGTAATGGCTTGATAAAGCTCCTGGAGAGCGAAACGTTGCTACAATAAATGCCACATTAGTTGCACTTGTGTCCTTTTACTTTACATATTGACTGAAGAAGCCGACTGTGTAGGCGAAACGTTTTGGAATAAAGTTACCTATAGTACACGTGTCTTCATCCTCAGAACTTTGAGGTTCACTCCCGCTAAGTGGCCTGCCAACATAAAGAACGTGATGATTAAGACACATGTACAACACTTGGGTATCCTTATTGTTGAAACATTTCATTTACACAGTAGACTTCTTCAGTCAAATACAGAGGCAGCAGGTGTAGTAATGAAATAAAGATGTAGTCAGTCTATCGACCTTGGAGTATTTTATACCATTATCTACATAACGAACGTTAATTTGCTAACGCATTTACTTCAGAGTATCTTAAATGCCTCATTACCTGTAAATCTCATAAATTTCTAATTTCATTCAGCACACACTTGAATTTCTCATTAGTTCCCATTGCTGTAATATTTCTTTCCTAACTGAGGAGTCCTCGTCTGAGACAGAGCCACGGGGGCAATGACCTCCCCCCCTCCCGGAACTATCAACGCAAAACCTAACTCCTCCGTTATCTATTTCGTTACTGTACTGGTATATTTTCGATTGTACTGGATTTATTTAAACTCGCCGAACATTGCAGTACTCTCTGACTCGCTCTTCATGTACTCGACGTGGAGGAAATAATTTTTTTTTTCCCAGCCATTCCACATTTCAGAATTTTGTCGAGATAAACGCTGCAGTTGACTCCAGTTTTAATAGTTTAAAAGTTTCGCTCGAGGTATTTAAGCGGCAATACCCGGACGAGGCAAATTACTGCGTTTGGAGGGAGAGGATATGTCAAAGTTGATTTTTGTGTCGTGGATTTGTGTGTGTGTAGAGGCAGGCTTTTTTAACCTTGCTTTCCCAGTAGTTCTGACTCTTAACCACTTGGCCCCTCAGGGCTACATTGTTACTCAGGGCTACATTGTTACTCAGGGCTACATTATTACTCAGGGATACATGGTCATTCAGGGCTACATGGTCACTCTGGGTCACCTGGCCCTTCAGGGCTACACTGCCAGTCACGTATACTCTAATATATTCTGTTAGATTCGAAGTGTTCTTAGTCGACAGATGACATATACTATTTTCATAGTAAAATCTAAATTATTTTAGCAGTTTCGTAGCCCCTCGAAAAGGATGTAGAATTTCTTTATAAAATGGGAGGAAGGCCTCGGTCAGATGACCAAAAGCTGCAGCTGCGGGTCATCATATGACTAAGACCCGCGTCGGGAAACACTTGTCCTGTTTCCTGACAAACCTTAACTAACTTAACCTGAAATTCTATTTTATCTGGTACAGGTGCATGTTCGCAATTTTTTTAACTCAAAAAGACTACATTATTGGTTTCCGTATACTAACTAGAAAATGCCTCTTCTGATCTGCTTCAAACTTTCAGTGCTGGTGCATTTTGATCAAAGAAAGGATGACATTGCTATTGGGCTGTGTAAATCCCCATTTGCTAATTATATTTAATAAACTGTGCATTAGTTTCTACACGATATCTGGAGAATGCCTCTTCTGATCGCTTTCAAACTCTTAACGCTGGTGTTTCTTATTCAAAGATCACGAATAGTTTTGGACTGGGATATTGGTTTCCCTGCAATTAACTGGGATTGTTTATTCAAATCTGCTTTTCACCACTTGAAGAGGAGTGGGATGGTTGCTGGACTGTGACGATAAATAAGACATGTGTAACAGTAAAGTGTCTTAAGTAAAAAGACACAGATGCAACTAAAGTTGCGCTCTCCAAGAGCTTTGTCTTAACTATAATAAAATGTCACATTAGTTGCATCTTTTATCTAACATTTTGACGGTAATTCTACCATTATTACTAATCCTCAGTATTGTATTGTGTACCATTATTAGTGATACTTGTGTGACACTGCAACACAACTGTGTCGCGGTACAGAAGACATCATCTACAATATCAGACTGGACAAGCCTCGTGTTTAGGAGAAACTTTTCACAAATAATATTTCACTGTTTGTTACTCATCCACTTGTCGGTATTTTATACATTATAATACCAATTTGCTAATTTTATTTTAATGTGTAATTATTTTCATGAAATAATTTAAGAATGCATATTTCGAAAGACTTGAGTCGTTACTGAGCCCTTAGGTATTATATCTTCCTACTGCTTTATCGTCAAGCCGGTCATATTCTCAGGTTCAAGGTTTTCATTCATTACTTAAGAACACCTCATCCGATCGGATTCAAATTTCCGACACTGGTGACCTGTAGCAAAGGGAAAAGCCGGTGGAACTTTTTAAATGATCAGGTTCTAGGTGATAACTTGAAAAACCCTCTTCTGATAGGCGTCAAGCTTGCATCAGTGTTGTATCTTACTTAGAAGAAACTGCTTAGCATTTATTTAAATAGTCTTCTTTAATGTAAGGGTTTCCAGGGAGGGTCAAGGGTTTCCAGGAAAGGGCAAGGGTTTCCAGGGAAGGGCAAGGGTTTCCAGGGAAGGGCAAGAGGATAAGCAAACCATTATCAGTGTTCGCTCTTGATCATCCTTGGATGTCTATAGTAATGCATAGAGTAATGATGTATTTAATACAACCACTGTATACTTGAATAACAAAAATTTTCTTTTTTTCCATTTTTTGTACAAAATTTTTTTTGTTTTAATAGTGGCGGAGTGTAAAGTGGATGGGAGGATGAGAGGAGTGGATGCGCCTGTGAGTATGACAGCCTGGATGAAAAGTCTTCCAAACATCCTCATCCACACACTTCACATCCTCAACGCCACTAACCTCATCATAATGTCTCCAGGTGATTTTGGTGAGTCAACACAGGTTTACTCAACCACTCTCTCCATCACCGCCATAATGTTTATGTATTCTACAACACACCACCACCTTCATGTTCCACCTCGAACACTCTCGCATCACATACTGAGTATTCGTGGTTCAGTCCCCGGCCGGAGACTCAACCACGGATATTCAGCGGGTATGTTTCCTTACACCTGTTGTCCCTGTTCACCTGGTAGCAAGTAGGAACCTGGGTGTTAGTCGACTGGTGTTGGTGACATCCTGGGGAACAAGATTGCAGCACTGCAATGACGATAAGGACCCCAATGTAAATAAGTCATTGACGTTTTTGGGTTATCCTACGTTCCTTACACATATGCTGCTATGTATGATAATCTATGTAACTGTATTTGTGTATACCTGAATAAACTTACTTATAAGACAGACAGTCCTGGTTGACGCTCTTACTTGGGTTATCTAGGGTGCCTAACCCTCCGGGTTAAAAATCCGAACAAATCTTATCTTACCTCATAACATCGACCGTCTCACACCTGGCTAAAGAGTAACTAATACTCAACATCAGTCGAGAATAACCTGAAGTTACACAGACAATATTCGGTAATTAACTTCACCACTAAATTGTTCCAAGTCACTAAGTGGCCTCACCAGATCATTAATAAACAACAATATACTCATTCTTCTCTATCATTTTAAACACAACTCAGTGGCATTTTTTAAAGTCCCGCATCTGTTTTCCATAACTCCGTTTACAAACAGACGAACACAATATAAAAACCTGTAGAGTTTTAAGTGAGAAATAATGCGCGCGTTACAGAATACAATCCAATGGATTTCCTTCACATATATCCTTTGCTTTTCTAGGATAGCCTCTTTATCCACGAAGGGTTTAGGACCAGTTGAACATTATTGTGTATTTTATAACTTTTTAAATTCATGGATGGGATAAATGTTAAATATGTTCAATTAATCACCCACTTTCTTCGCTTAACTCTTTCTTGCTGGCTCTCCAGACACTGGTGTGGAGGGTAGCATCTGGGAGGACGGCATTACCACGGAGATCCACCGTCATGCTCACCTGTCTAACACAGGTACACCTGTCTAATAGAGATACCACCTGTCTAACACAGGTACAAGATAAATACGCCTGTCTAACACAGCTACAAGGTAGGTAACACCTCTCTAACACAGCTACAGCATAGGTAACACCTATCACAGTTACAAGACAGATACACCTGTCTAACACAGCTACAATATAGGTAACACCTAACACAGTTAGGTATTCACCTGTCTAAGCATGGAATCTGTCAAAAAATATACCACACCTGTTAACACAGGTATATCTGTCAACACGTACACCATACCTGTCTTACACAGTTACACCTGTCACAAGTACACAGTGACCGAACAGATAAAAGGACACCCATATAAAATCTTTAACAGACGGAGAAAAATGTAAATACAAAGGATTAAAATACTTAAAAGGAAGAATGGAAAGACTTACGAGTGATATACTGACAACAACAGTCATGATGTTGACACAGATAATGCTGAGACGAAGAATGAGACACACAAAAAACAACGAAGAATATTGAGATAAAGAATAATGTGACGTAAGAATAAGATAAACAATGGAAGACTTTTTTTTTTAATATTTTTCTAATTTTTTAAAATGTTTTTTCTAATATTTTTCTAATATTTTTCTAATTTTTCTAATATTTTTCATTCTGACTGACGAAGAGCTCTTGATTTTTATACTGTATCAGAAGCGTTAAACCCGTGAGGGTTTAACACGCTAGGGGTTCGATCCTCCGTTTATTAATAGAGAGAGACGAGCTTGTTGTACTCATTGATTGGTTCTTGATCCTACATATTGGAGGCATCCTCCCTTTCCTCGGATCGGACATAGCTGCCAAATTTTCACTTCATTCTCCATGATATAACACTTACGGGTTTGGCACTTTCTCGTGAATTTAAAACAGGGTTTTGAAGAATTTTCCAGAAATTTAATTTATTTATGGAACTTGCCAAAATTCCTGACAGAATGGACCAACTCATCATCCAGCGTCAACATCCCGTTGGGGCCGCCCACGGGCGTAGCGGGTGACGATGGCGTCTCCGGGGAGTTATTCTTCCCAAGCGTGAACTGGAGGTTCTTGTATGAGCGTGTGGAGCTTCCTAGACATCAGACGGTGGTGCTAGTGCTGGGTCCTGCTAGCTGGGTGCTTCACGCAGCTCCACAGGTCAGGCTCTCCAGTCTTCTAGGGACAATCTACACGTCAAAAATAATATTCTCACAAGCCATTTTGTGTGTGTGTGTGTGTGTGTGTGTGTGTGTGTGTGTGTGTGTGTGTGTGTGTGTGTGTGTGTGTGTGTGTGTGTGTGTGTGTGTGTGTGTGTTCATTTTCTATACACTGATTAGTTGTCTGTTATTTTCAGCTAGCGTCACGAGGAGTGTTTGGACCGGTGAGTAGAAACATGAGTGTGTTAGAGGAAGGTGAATAACGAAGAAATATATTCATTGAGATGTTTGAATGCTGCTTCTTGACTTGACTAATATCAGAGAGAGAGAGAGAATAACCTTGGTGTCACTACTGCCTTCCCCACAGAAAGAAACGGTGGTAGTGGCGCCTGTGAGCGGGGAGCTGAGCTCCAACCACCTCTCCTCAAGTCTTCCCCTCGCCCTCCGCCTCCTACTCCTCCAGGAGACACCCCAGGTAAGCTTCCCTCCCTTCCCCTCTCCAGCCTTCATTTCTAATTGTGCTCAAAACTGTATACAATTCACAGTACCGTGGCTGCTACAGTACCATAGCTACCACAATACTGTGGCTACCACAATACTGTAGCTACCACAATACTGTGGCTACCACAATACTGTGGCTACCACAATACTGTGACTACCACAATACTGTGGCTACCACAGTGCCCTGGCTACCACAATACTGTGACTACCACAATACTGTGGCTACCACAGTGCCCTGGCTACCACAATACTGTGACTACCACAATACTGTGGCTACCACAGTGCCCTGGCTACAGTACTGTGACTACTACAACACTGTGGCTACCACAGTGCCGTGGCTACCACAATACTGTGACTACCACATGAATAGGGACTGACCAACTTGATGGACCAGGACGGACCAGCTGACCAAGACAGACCAACTTGATGGACCAAGACAGACCAACTTGATGGACCAGGAGGAACAACTTGATGGACCAAGACAGACCAACTTGATGGACCAGGAGGAACAACTTGATGGACCAAGACAGACCAACTTGATGGACCAGGAGGAACAACTTGATGGACCAAGATTGACTAACTTGATGGACTAGGATGGACCATCTTGATGGAACAAGATGGACTAACTTGATGGACTAGAACGGACCAACTTGATGGGCTAGGATAGACTGAAGCGTCATGCAGTTTTATTTCTGCCTTCTCCTGCGGCAGGCGCAGGCAGGCCGGTGCGCAGGTCTGCTGAAGGCGGCGCAGCTGGTGGAGGGTTCAGGGCCGGTGATGCGCAGTGTTGGATGCTGGTACAGTGGACGTTTCCACCTGCGCTCCCACCACCTCCTCCCCTCAATCAAAACCCTAAATGGAGCATCCCTCAACGTCTCCATCCCTGCGGTAAGGGCTTTTGATCCAAAGGAATGAAGCCTGGCTGTCTCCTATTGTAATACCGAGGAGTCGAGCTTGAACCACTCTACGGGCAAGGAGTGGTCCAGTAATGGATATATATATATATATATATATATATATATATATATATATATATATATATATATATATATATATATATTTTCTTTCTTTCAACACACCGGCCGTATCCCACCAAGGCAGGGTGGCCCAAAAAGAAAAACGAAAGTTTCTCTTTTTAAATTTAGTAATTTATACAGGAGAAGGGGTTACTAGCCCCTTGCTCCCGGCATTTTAGTCGCCTCTTACGACACGCATGGCTTACGGAGGAAGAATTCTGTTCCACTTCCCCATGGATATATAATATATATATATATATATATATATATATATATATATATATATATAATATTATATATACCCTGGTGCCGACAGGTTCATAAGATATACCAGGTACTGAGGTATATCTAAATATACACTAAATATACCCTCCAGGTACTTCGCCTCACCTTCCCCAGCTTACGACTGCTGCTGCTTCTTCATATCCCTGTTGTAGATACTAAGAAATCTTCGTTATCTGTTCTGTCACGTGCTTTCATAACTGTGTTGTTATCATGCGGTTCTTATGCCTTACAGTAAAACACTGACCTTAATTAAAAACATTAACGGAGCAAGTACAGATCCTTGTGGCACCCCGCGTGTGACATCTTCTCGCTAGTTGTACAAGAATGGTATACAGTACCGACAAGATGAAAATTTAGACATGTGCAAACATCTGGGTATAAAGATACCCAGATGTTTGCACATCGTGTCTAAATTTTCATCTTCCCGCTAGGACATTTCTTTTCAGACAAGAAAAAAAAAGTCTCATCCACTGTAATAATGTCTTGTATTCCTCCTATATTTTGCAGTTTTCGAATGAGCCTTTCATGGGAAATTCATGTTTTTTTTAATATCTAGATTAATACACTGACCGAAACTAAATTGTGCACCAGGTAGTGGGTTGTTCTTCAAGCGTGTAACCAACTTTTCTGAAATGTTTTTTTTTTCCAATATGTGTACAATACTTGTCACTTGTGTACGCTTGTGCGCATGTGTGTGTGTGTGTGAGCATTGTGTTTATATTTGTGTGTGTATCACCAGGCAAACAACGAGATCACTGTGGAGGAGGAGGGCGGGAAGCAGGTGCTGAAGGGATATCTGGGTAGGCTACTGACTAACATCATGAAGAAGGTGAACTTCGTGCCCAGGATCACAGCACGCCCGTCAACCCAGGATAATGTGGACGCTCTGGCTAGCAGGGTATGTACCCAGTTTATTGCTGTTTTAATACCTGTCTTTAGGTCTTTTCTTGGTTTTTTCATATTCATGGATTCAAATTAGATAAGTTTACATTTAGAAAGGATATAGTAATGTATTGGTTTGGAAATAGGGTAGAAGATGAGTGGAACAGTCTGCCTAGTAGGGTTATTGATGTTAAAACCTTGTGTAGTTTTAAATTTAGGTTGGATAGATACACTAGTGAGAAGGGTTGGATTTGAGTGAGACTTGCCATTAGTAAATAGATTTATCAAAGCTTATTGTATGGGTAGCGTTGAAAATGTGTTAGGTAAATACTCTGTTAGTGGGATGGATTTGTGTAGAACCCGCCTAGTATGTGCCAATAGGTCTGCTGCAGTGTTCCTCCTTTCTCATGTTCTTATGATCAGGTGTGGGATCCAAGTAGGTGCTATGTACTCGAGGGTTGATCATCAGCATAAGACGCTTTCCACATCTCTTATTTTATTAATGACACTTGTTAACCTAGTATATTTTCTCTACGGAAGTGTCCGATCAATATCACTTTATCAGCACTTTCTCCCTACCTGTCACTACATCCCCACGTCCCTGCAAACATGTAAATGGCTTTAGCACCAAAAATAATTTCACACATCTGCAAATCAGTTTCATTGCTCGTGGACTGGAAGTACATGCACTGGCCCTGCCTGTCTCCCACAGCTTCACAAGCTGTGATACTGTATCTTCTTTTTTCTGGAAGGGAATAAATGTCGCATGGGAAGCGTGGAAGTCCAACACAAGTCAGGCCATCCCTTACACTGAAAATATTGCAACCAGATGCCATTAATGGAATACAGTGAGCAATCATTAAGACTGTGGAGTCATATACCATTTAATTGCCCTAGCTATCATGTACAGTAGGTACATTTATAAATAAAAAGGAACAAGACCGTGACTGGAACAATACACAACCCTCACATAGGAGAGGGAAGCCTACGACGACGTTTCGGTCCCACTAGAACTATTTACAAAGTCACACTAACAGAAACGAGTTCATGTTCAAGTAGGTTGGCTAGGATGGGTCCTGGCCCGCGTCTTCTCCATGTGGTGACCCGGCAGTGGGTCCCGAAGGAGTGTCAGGGTTGGTACAAGTGATGTACCGTTTACGGCCGTATGGCGGGGGCAGCCCAGGTGGAATACCGCTTTCACTGCTGGGGCGGGGAGACCCATATGACAAAGGCGCGGTGAGCCGTCTTCGCGTTAGCTGAGGGACTGACCACCTCAAATACTATTTCTCCAAGGCTGAAGGACTGATTACATCATCCTCAGTCACTCCTATACCTCTTGCCTCTGTATTTACTGAAGAAACTTACTGTGTAGGCGAAACATTTCAATAATAAAGATACCAACTGTTGCACGTGTCTTAATCGTTGAATAATTCCTTTGTTTATCTATGTTAAAGAAACCCTTAAATTATATATTAGTTTCACTAATAAACTTCTGTAGTATAATAATAATGAAGCATTCTTAATAGCGAATCCAGTTTCATATAACGTAATACAGCAGTCTCACCCAAAGGATTTTGAACTTCAAGTTTGAGGCGAATTGTAAAGAGAGCAAATGATGCGCTCTTAGGGAATTCAACACTCAGTACAAGTCATTCAATCGTCACTCTTTACACGTCACTGCAGGAGACGGACGTGGTCATAATGACGCTGTCAATGTTACCAGCCAGAGCAGAGGTGATGGAGTTTTCAGAGTGGTACTGGATCCACAACACTAAGTTTGTCACTAAGGTACCTGGTCTCCGTGACGACTCCTTCCTCCTCTTCCAGATCTACCTGTGGCAGGTGAGGGGTCCTTGTGTTGAAATGTCCCGTGAGGGTGGGTAGTCCCAGGGAAAGAAAATCAGGGGACAGTGAGTGGTTCTTTTCCCAGATGTGGGTGGGCGTTAGGTCCGGTAGAGGGTCGGAGGGTGTTTCCGGGAAGTGCGGTTGGTAAGGGTGCTCCATGGGGGTAAGGGTGGGTGGTGGTGTTCCAGCAGGGGATGGAAAGGGGTTTCCAGGAAAGGGTGGCTAGGTGTAATCAAGTATCAGGTGGGAGAGTGTTCCTGCTGTGTTATCACTATCCAGCACATCAAACTCGTTACTTACTGTGGCAGACTTGGTGTGTGATCACTGGGCTTATGGTGGTGTCTGCCACGGTGCTAGCAGTCACCTGGAGCAGGGAGCACGGCCGGGGGCAGCCACACCACCTCCCTACCGCGAGAGAGAAGTCTATCAGAAACACCGTCTGCGTGGCCTTCACCACCTCCTTCAAGACAATCATTTTTAAAAGTAAGTGTACCTGGGTTGTAGAGGTTATTTAGCACTCACGTTACTTCTGTCTCACACTTGCACGAGTCTGAGAGTTATTCATAATTATTCATTATAATTTTCAAGAAGCACCTAACATATACTCCCTGGGGTAATCATGTCCAAGGAAGGAGAGGGAAGTACTAATTTCTTGAATAAACAGCTATTTACCAGCATGAAGGTGCTTCTCCTAAGCTATCCTGGTTAGACGTAGTGTGTATAGTGTGGCAGTCTTCTGGGTGTGTTTAGTGTAGCAGTGTAGTGTTCTGGGTGTGTAATGTGTATAGTGTAGCAGTGTTCTGGGTGTATACTGTTCATCGTAGAAAACTGAGCAGCTTTACAAATATCAAGCAAAATGTTGGGTTATATACCTTATTAAAACTAGCAAGGTACCTTCATCATTGCAAGACTGTCAAAACGACATTTCGTAGTCTAGCTGTAATTGCAAGCTTAATTCATAATACAGTTGTGCCCTTCTATGTCCGAAGTGTATTCTCTCTAACATTGGCCTTCAAGGTCATGATAAAAATGATGAATTAGCAAAAGCGTATGTCTTCGTGTAGATTACAACTCTGCGTTATCTTATGGCAGTTTTCTGACAATACGAAAGCAACCCAGCTTCATTAACCTGAGACACAGTGACACTAGTCAGTCCCTTTGATCCTTCTATTTTGCAATAAGAGCCACGAGGCTATGAAACAAAATCAGCAGACTTTTGGATGGTACTATTACATCCAGACTCAGACTAGGTTGCAGGTACCTCTGGGAGTTTGTACCACCAGCTTGTATAGTAGAGCCAGACTCAGACTAGGTTGCAGGTACCTCTGGGAGTTTGTACCACCAGCTAGTATAGTAGATTCAGCTAAATGTCCGTTGTCAGAGAAACTATCAAACAAAACGAACATTTTATTTCCTTGTGCAGTATAAAAACAACGTAGTTTACACATAATAAAATATTGTTAAACACAAAAGAAAGCCACTAGCATGCATGTGCATTTCGGGCACACCTTATCACATCTTGCCTTGTTTCTTATCGAATGTTAAAAAAAAAATTGATGAATTCTGACAATTCACAAGTGTTTAAGAAATGCCAGAGTATTTCATGCACAGTGTCATATTACCAACATTCTGAAAAAAAAAAACCCTGACTTTGCCTATTGTAAAAAACTAGTAAATGACTCGACTACCAAGCCAGTGATAATCCTTTTCAGATCACTTGTTCTCTCGAGGCTGGAATATTGCTGTACGTTAACATCTCCGTTCACAGCAGGTGAAATTGCAGATCTAGAGAGAGACTGCACATATAAGTTCCATCAAACACCTCAACTACTGGGAATGCTTGCAAGCACTTGACTTGTACTCGCCGGAACGCAGGGGAGAGATATCATAATCTACATTTGGAAAATCCTAGAAGGAATGGTCCCGAATCTGCACGCACAAATCACTCCCTACGAAAGTAAGCGACTGGGCAGGCGATGCAAAATACCCCTAGTGAAAAGTAGGGGCGCCATTGTCCGGGGCCCAAGACTGTTCAACAGCCTCCCACCAAGCATAAAGGGAATTGCCAATAGACCCCTGGCTGCCTTCAAGAGGGAGCTGGACAGATACTTAAAGTCGGTGCCGGATCAGCCGGGTTGTGGTTCGTACGTTGGACTACGTGCGGCCAACAGTAACAGCCTCGTTGATCACGCCCTGATCCAGGAAGGTTACTACTGCCCACATGATGGGTACAGGGTTACTACTGCCCACATGATGGGTACAGGGTTACTACTGCCCACATGATGGGTACAGGGTTACTACTGCCCACATGATGGGTACAGGGTTACTACTGGCCACATGGGTACAAGTACAACTGCCCACATGATGGGTTTACAGGGTTACTACTGCCCACAGGGATGGGTACAAAGGTTACTTTACTAGCCCACATGATGGGTACGGTTACTACTGCCCACATAAATGGGTAAAAGGTACTACTGCCCACATGATGGGTACGGGGTTCCCTACTGCCCACATGATGGTACAGGGTTACTACTGCCCACATGGGGTACAAGGTTACTACTGCCCAATGAGGGTACAGGTTACTACGCCCACATGATGGGTACAGGGTTACTACTCCCCACAAATGGGTACAGGGTTACTACTCCCCCACATGATGGGTATAGGTTACTACTGCCCACATGGGTACAAGTTTCAAACTGCCACATGTGGGTACAGGGTTATTACGGGGCCCCATGATGGGTACGGGGTTACTACTGCCCACAGATGGGTACAAGGTAACTACTGCCCACATGGGGGTACAGGTTACTACTGCCCACATGATGGGTACAGGGTTACTACTGCCACATGGGTAACAGGTTACTAGCCCACATGATGGGACAAAGGTTTAAACTACTGCCCAAAAATGTGATAGGGTTTACACGCCCACCATGATGGGTACGGGTTCTACTGCCCAAATGATGGGTATAGGGTACTACCCCAACAAAGATGGGTACAAGGTTATACTGCCCAATGATGGTCTAGGGGTTACACTCCCACATGGTACAAGGTACTACTGCCCACGAGGGTACAGGGTTACTACTGCCCCATGAGTACAAGGTTATTACTGCCCAAACATGTTGGTACGGGTTACTACTGCCCAAAATGATGGGTACAGGGTTACTACTGCCAAAAGGTACAAGGTTACTACTGCCCACATGAGGGGTACAGGTTAAACTACTGCCCACATGTGGGTACAAGGTTATACTGCCCAAAATGATGGGTATAGGGTTCTACGCCCACATGATGGGTTACAGGGTTACTACTGCCCACATGATGGGTATAGGTTTACTATTTTGCCCACATGATGGGTACAGGGTTATCACTGCCCACATGATGGGTAAAAGGGGGTTACTAACGCCCACATGATGGGTATGGGGTTACTACTGCCCACATGTTGGGTAAAAGGTTACTACTGCCCTTAAATGGGTATGGGTTACTATGCCCACAGAGGGGTACAGGGTTACTACTGCCCATATGGGTACAAGGTTACTACTGCCCACATGATGGGTACAGGGTTACTACTGCCCCACATGGGCCCCAAGGTTCTACTGCCACATGTGGGTACAGGGGTTACTACTGCCCACATAATGGGTACAGGTTATACTGCCCACATATGGGTACAGGGTTACTACTGCCCAATGATGGGTACAAGGTTACTACTGCCCACACGATGGGTACAGGGTTACTACTGCCCACATGGGTACAAGGTTACTACTGCCCACATGATGGGTACAGGGTTACTACTGCCCAATGATGGGTACAGGGTTTACTACTGCCCACTTTGGTACAAGGTTACTACTGCCCACATGATGGTCCCAGGGTTACTACTGCCCACATGATGGTACAAGGTTACTACTGCCCACATGTGGGTCAGGGTTACTACTGCCCACATGATGGGTACCGGGGTTTTACTACTGCCCACTTGGGTACAAGGTTACTACTCCCCCACATAAATGGGACAGGGTTACTACTGCCCACATGATGGGTACAGGGTTACTACTCCCCCACATGGGTACAAGGTTACTACTCCCCACATGAGGGTACAGGTTACTACTGCCCACATGATGGGTACAAGGTTACTACTGCCCACTTTGATGGGTACAGGGTTACTACTGCCCACATGATGGGTACAGGGTTACTACTGCCCACATGGGTACAAGGTTACTACTGCCCACATGATGGGTACAGGGTTACTACTGCCCACATGATGGGTACAAGGTTACTACTGCCCACATGATGGGTACAGGGTTACTACTGCCCACATGATGGGTACAGGGTTACTACTGCCCACATGATGGGTACAGGGTTACTACTGCCCACACGATGGGTACAGGGTTACTACTGCCCACATGGGTAAAAGGTTACTACTGCCCACATGATGGGAAATGGGGTTTAAACTACTGCCCACACGATGGGTTACGGGGTTTTTACTACTGCCCCACACGAGGGGTACAGGGTTACACTGCCCACATGGGTACAAGGTTACTACCCCCACATGAGGGTTTACAGGGTTACTACTGCCCACATATGGGAAACAGGGTTACTACTGCCCACATGATGGGTACAGGGTTTACTACTGCCCACATGATGGGTACAGGGTTACTACTGCCCACTATTGGGTATAGGGTTACAAACTGCCCAAAAGATGGGTATAGGGTTACTACTGCCCACATAATGGGTATAAGGTTACTACTGCCCACATGATGGGTACAGGGTTACTACTGCCCACATGATGGGTATAGGGTTACTACTGCCCACATGATGGTAAAAGGGTTACTACTCCCCACATGATGGTATAGGTTCTATCTGCCCACATGGGTACAAGGTTACTACTGCCCACATTTGGGTACAGGGTTACTACTGCCCCCCATGATGGGAAACAGGGTTACTACTGCCCACATGGTACAAGGTTACTACTGCCCACATGATGGGTACAGGGTTAACTAACTGCCCACATGATGGGTACAGGGTTAAACTACTGCCCACATGGGTACAAGGTTACTACTGCCCACATGAAGGGTCCCGGGGTTACTACTGCCCACATGATGGGTAAAAAGGTTACTACTGCCCACATGATGGGTACAGGGTTACTACTGCCCACATGATGGGTACGGGGTTACTACTGCCCACATGATGGGTACAGGTTAACTACTGCCCACACGAGGGGTACAGGGTTACTACTGCCCACATGGTACAAGGTTACTAACTGCCCACATGAGGGGTTTATAGGGTTACTACTGCCCACACGATGGGTACAGGTTACTATTTGCCCACAACGATGGTACAGGGTTACAAACTGCCCACATGGGTACAAGGTTACAAACTGCCCACATGATGGGTACAGGGTTACACTCCCCACTGATGGGTACAGGTTACTACTGCCCACATGATGGGTACAGGGTTACTACGCCCACATGATGGGTACAGGGTACTACGCCCACATG